TTTCCATTACTTGGAGAAATTAGAATTTTAAAATCAAAATTTTGGGATCCCGAAAATTTTCGGGTTTAAATAAAGAAAACTTTCTATATTAAATTCTCATTACTTTGACAAATTGGATTTATAAAATCAGGATTTCGGGATTCCGAAAATATTTGGGTTAAAAGTATTGAATAATAACGTTACTTTTTATTATTATGTATTAACTTTTATGTTTGTGTTAAAACGAAATTAAAATTAATTGTTTGAAATTGGTATAAAATGGCTTCCCGCTCGGATAAATCGTAATCCCGAAATTTCGGGATTAAGAATATGATGCTTGAACAGTAGTAAATATTTTAAGAGTAATTAAATTAAATTGGTATTTAATGAATTCAGACACGGGATCCCGAAATGTTGATCCCGAAATTTTGAAATTAGTGAAATGAAACTTGAACAGTAGTAATTAAACTAAAATGGGTTTTTAAATTGGTAAACATGTACGTGATTCCGAAATTTCGGGATTTAAAATATTGAAGCTTGAACAGGAGTAAATATTTAATTTCTGTGTGCTCATTGCAGCTAGAAGTTCAGTATTACTATTTATTTGTAGTCCGTGACACAGTATACTTGTATGTATGGACATATGTATGATACATGACGATGTATGATACATACATATGTACTTGTGTATTTATGTACATTGTAGTTTTGACATATTTTTGCAATGGTACCATGCTAATAAATGAGTTGTCGTCTAGGGACAACAAATATAAGTCCATAAGAATGTTTTATTTTTTTTTTAACTTTTTTTTAAATAATGCAAAGTAAACTCTTACACCTTTACACACATATACTCAAAATAGCAAGTGGAGCAACGCATAAAATCTTACAAAGTGAACTTTGTGCATAAGTTTCTACACAGTTGTTGGCGTTGCTTGTGCCACAATGGATTTGCAGTGGCGCCAATTGCAACAACAACTTACAGCGCACAGCCAAATCAGACTCTCGCCACTGTTGAAGAAGTAAAGAAATATGCATAATTTTATATGTACATACACACATTTCTATATATGTATATTTAAGTAAATATTAAATATTTTTGTGTGCAGCTGTACATATTTATTTGCAGCAGCCAGTGTTGAACTCAACAAAATGTTAATGTTTACTTGCTTTTGTTGCTTTTCAAGTGAAAACTCAGCTCCGTATAGGTAAATAAGTCTACGTATTTGTATACGTATTTATGTGTGTGTGTGTGCCACATTGTTGTAAACTTCCCCCATTCGCTGCAATGTCAATGCAATCGCTTAATAAACCGTTGATTCGTATAAATTTCAATTTCAATTCATTTCACCATGACATTGCCACAATGACAACCGAGACGCGACCGAGACAATTAACTGTCAGCACTTAACAGCACTTTTATACAAGAAAAAAAAAACAAACCGAAATGCAGATAAGTGTTGCATAGGCCCAACTGCAAACAACAGCAACAATAACACTTGCCACACAGTGAAATAGTAGACATATTTGGGGACAGTCAACCGGCAGAGGCTGGGGCAGTTGCTGGTTGATTAATTAATTAATAAAAATCGCCAAGTTGCACGCTCATCAACGCCACATGCACCCATAAAAACATACCTATATTTACGGGTTAGTAGGCGGAGTGCGCGCTGAGCGATGTCTGCATGCCACACTCGTTGGTGTAACGGTCGTTTTGTCAATGTTTTTTCATATGCATGTGTGTGTGTAAGTGTGAGTGCCTGGCTGATGAATATTGGATCAGCAAGTTCGAAATGGGCTCGACCATTCTCATGGGTGTCTGAGCGTCCACACAATATACATGTACATGTACAATATATAGGAGAGAGAGACAGACGGATATCAACTCAGAGTAAAAGTGTCAATCTTTCAGTAGTCTTCATTGGAAATTCGAAACAAGAGCTCGCCTGTGGCATATTGCACATAACCTAAAGAACCCAACAGAGGTTGTAATAAACGGAAGGCTAGTAGACTTTGAATCATCAAACAACTTTAGAATCACCAATTCGAGAAATTCACTAACTTGAAACCACTCTTACATATTAGGGATCTCTCAGCATTTTAATAAAAGTTGCAAAATTGCCGTTATGCTAGTGAAGACTCACTGATCAAGTTACACGCGTCGGAGATACAGTATACCACACATTATCCATAAGAATGCCTGCTTATCGCTTCAATCCAGTTCGAGCGAAATATAAAAGAGCGGATGCAGCTTATAACCTATTTTTCAAACTAATTTTGCAGCGCGAGTAGAATCATAAATACTTCGGACGCCTAAGTAGTCAGCTTTTCCAAATTTCTGTAACTAAAAGTCGTAATTATTTTTTAATCATCGCACCATTAAAGCCGAGATCTGAATATTGTCTACCCCCGTGTTAAAAATCATATAGTAAGTCTTCAGATCACTGAAACTGAAATAGTTGAAATGTGTCACTGTCGAGCCGTGGGAAAAACTCCGCAAATATGACAGCTCCGTCTAAGCTCCCAATGGCTTGTAACTAATATACTGCGTCAAACGATTTTATGCTACGAGATTTATAATGTTAGATAACTTGTCAAAAATGAGATTTCATTCTGGTTTCTGGAGGCTTCATTCCGGTTTGTGTGTCCCGCAATCAAATATCAATGTATTGTAATATTCCTCGGATAATTAAGTTAAGATAGAAAATATTTCGGACTAACTTTACGTTGAGTCTCAGGTCAGTTCGAGCAGATATTCGAAATAAGGAGTACCCTACGTCTAAGCTGTTGTCTTTATTGCTTGTTTCAGGCCTTCAAAGCCGTATCTGTCAGAACTGCCGGATTGACGTCAACTGTTTATATGTGTGTTAATGGCGCATGTTACTCTCAGACCACATCTAGGTATGTGCCCTCAATTCGTTTAGTAACATTCTCATTTATTTATGGTACAGTGTGGTATTTGTGTCAGCCCCATGTCCAATACATAAGATGACATCACTTTCATCTTATACACAACCACATTTCCGTGGCACAGCGACTAATTTATACATTTGCAAATTGACATTTTCTGACGACTGCAAACAAGCTTCAATGTTTACACACGTCTCTAAGTGTGTTTGCATCGTGTGTGCGGAATGTCCTTTGTGCCGCCCGCTGACAAGGCGCTCGACTTTGCTGCGGCGCTTTGTTGCGTTTTGGTACGGTACTTCGGTCGCATTTTCGCTACACGCGCGAATTAATTCACTTCTGCTAATTAACCCAATATGTCAAACATAGCGAATTTCACCACACCACTCCAACCACCACCTACCACTTGTCAACATCATCAACTTATTTGACATACATGTATAAAATGTGCCCTAAACCACCAGTGTTTACTCAACTGCTTTGTATGTGAATATGTTTGTTTTACACACATGAGTTCCAACTCATCCAACGATACTTTCACCAAAGCGAAATTAAATGCTGCAAAAGTTGTTGGAATTTTTTTGCTTAGAGTAATTCGAAACGCTCACCGTTAGACTGCAGCAACTCTGCTCCCCTTCATGACCTCTTCGCGACCTTCGCTCGCATCTCGCCTTACATTCGTCTATAATTCATCTCAGGCATGCGTTTAGATACAACATTAAAGGATGTTCGGTCGTGCCATGTGTCAATCTTTAATTGCTCCCCACACATACAGCTACATACAAATTATCTACATAAATGTATTTCGTAATTTGCAAAGCCAGCGAATGCCAACGGAGCGGAAATGTTAATTGAAGGATAATTTAGCTGGCATCAAATACGCATAAGCATATGACGAACTTCTTGGCGCTCAAAGTGAAGCGCGGGGTGTTCTCAAGTGTGCGATATTAATTGCGCATAAATGTTGGCTTTTCTTTACGGGCGTCGAGGCGTGGCAGATGAAAGTGCAAAGTTTCAATTTAATTCGAAGCGTTAATTATGAAATGAGCAGCAAGGAAGAAGTGACAGAGGGATATAATAGAGAGATGTATTAGATTATAGAAAGATGTATTGTAGATCTGGGTCCTGTCGACAGTTTCGAATTTCAGCTTTGTGAAATGAAGTGCGGTTACGTCGTAATGTATGTAGTTATGTTGGATTAAGTACCAGTAAGCTAGGTCCAACATATTTTTTAGACAGTTAGTCCAAGTTCTGTATGGTAAGATTATATTTAGTTAATATCAAAAGAATCCTCAATATTTATAGAAACAAAAAGTTTCTTTGAATAAAATGCATTAGCAACTTAGGCTTCCACGCCCGTTTTCATGAAGACTATTCATCACATTCACTATATGCTTGGAGGATGAGTAGCAAATTCCGTATATCGGCTATAGAAAGAATAACTGAAAGTTCTGCACGAAGTTAACATTTACATCCAAAAGTTCGTAAATAATCTCCAGTCTAACATCAAGTCTTTGGTGAAAAGGCGATATGTCGCAAGTTCTCATAAAATCGTTTTCCCAATGAGTGCTCTGGGTATTACTATTTGACATATTTCAAATAAACGATATCTCGCCATATAAAGTGAGGTTAGCAGCGAGTTAGCGGCCAGTTTGTATGGATGCTATAGTAGTCCGATCTTTAAAAATTTCTTCGAAGCTTGTAGCGTTGCCTTGGGTAATGATTTCGCCCATTTTCGTGAAGCTAATTTCTGATATAAAAAAGTTTTCCACACAAGGTCTTGCTTTTGATTGATCAGTTTGTATGGCAGCTATATGACATATCTCAAAAACTGATAGGCTCCTTTATTCAAGAACAGTTCATAAAATTAAAAATTTAAAGCTTAATTTTTTCAATGCAAACTTGTATAAATAAATTTAATTATCAAAATGAGGGCTCCTTTATTCAAGAGCAGCTCATAAACGATTAGTTCTCCGCCTGCATAATACCAGAAACCTTAAGATTTTCGAGTTCCAATTTCTCGATCGTGATTTGGAGATCAAGCATTTCGTATATATTTTTAAACTACAGACTTATATATCTTTATAATAATTGTTCTTATTCTTCTCTTGCAGACGCCACAGCATGTCCGCCAGTCTAATGTCATGTGTTCGGGAGAACTCCCCACCGTTAGATATTGTGGATGGAGCTAACTGTAGTAGTACAACGGGTCCAATGTCATTGCCCGATTGTCATATGACTACAATGTCGACAGCTAAACAACAACAACAACAACTCACATCAACACCACTATCAGCGCCAAAAATGAATGAGAGTAGTAGCAACGGTGGTGGCGGCGCAGGTGGAGGAGGTGATGGAACAACGCAAACTACTGGTGAGTGAAGAGAGATTTTGAATGTACATATACTATTGTACATAACTGTAATTAAAGCAAAGCTGTTATATTTTAAAGAAAAAAGTGTAAAAAATAACTCAGTATATTTGGAGAAAGTTTCTAGTTTTAATATAAATTTTATTTGGTCCAAAAATACATTCCTTAAACACCCCTGTCATTTTACATTATATCAGAAATTTTTATTCCGACACTTTCAGCTACTGCTCCCCTACAGCTTTTCACATCTTAAATACAAGTCTCAAAGTTGCCTCCAGTTAGCTGCCATCTCGTCCTCTCAGCCTCCAGCCATCTATTGGTCGATTCTGTTTGTAGATTCCATTTGTCAACGGCTCAATACGTGTCGCTGTCAAATGTCGTTGACACACCGTTAAGCAGCCAGTCTATCATAGTCTTGTTTGTAAATATGCCATCGGTGAGCTTGCGTGTGAAGTGCGAATGCTCTGCGAAAGGCCGAGGAAAGTGTGTACTTGTAAAGTGCCGCTCATTGGTAATGTGCTGCAATTGCTGGTAATGAAGATTGAAAGGAAGCCTAATAAGTGATATAGACAGTTTTATTGGCGTTAATTCAAATGGAAGACGAGGGAAGTAGAAACTGTGGCGTCAATGTATGAGAGAGTTTAAAGTGCATATGGAAATATGTAATGGCAATTGTCTTGAGATTAAATGACTTTGAAATGGTTTCGCATAAAACAGCAATACAATTTCTTTAAATGCTGCTTCTAATAAGATTACTGACCGAATTCGAAAACATACAGGAGATGTACAGATGTACTTAATGTGATGGAGGAGGCTTGCTAAAACTTAAAAGTTCTCAAAAGTTTCATAAAGCGCTTAGAATAGAATAAATTGAGATTTGTACTGCAAGCTGAGGTCTATTGTGCTCTCCTCTCTAACACACGTATTCACATAAGTCCAGCACTTTGATGCATTCCAGAATCCTACTGGGCGCTATTGAGTCAATGTGTGTGCCTTCGGATATGTAGTTCCAGGAGACTTGTTCTTGCGTCTCCAGACAGCTGTGCAATCTAGAAGCAGTGGTTCTACAGTTTCCGGCTCTTTCTTAAAGCCCTTTTTTCAAGTATGACACAAGATCTGTTCGATGTTTTGACAATTCGAGCGCAGCATCTCTGCCTAAAAGTCTTGGCGTTTTGTTAAATATTCTTATTTCCACACCCTTAACTAAATAAGTATTTTGTAGATAATGTACTCAGCTTTTAAGCACATTCACCGACTAAAATAACCTTCAAGACTTTTTTTTACTAAATATTACCACGTAGAGCTTGTTATTTGGAACAATATCACGACACCTACCTAAACCACTGGTATTATACCATAAGTTTGCTGTGAAGACCTATTTCTATAGTAAAAATTATTCGACCAAATTTTTCGTTTATTTATACGATGAAATTTTAGTTATGATACTTAACTACTATATAGTTGTGGTCATATATGATCAGGGGGCATACTTTTATTGGTCTGTATTTATACCGAATGTCGTTCCTTCAATCAGTTTTATCAAAAACTTTCAATAAAATTTTGGTTTTGTTTCAAGCGAAAAAAAAATAATTAAATTCTAACGGCAACATGTTTATTTGGTTGCAAAAGTCTTAAACTTCAACTCTTCGCAGTTTCCTTCGTTTTCAAGCTCTTTGCGTCACTAGGTTCCTAGTCTAATATATGTAGGCACAATTATGTTACGTATACGCCACCACATACATATTTACATATAAATATTATTTTTTTTAGTTTGTATTTATTTTTCATAATTTATGTATCCTTTTGTTACTTCAAATGCTTATGAAAACAAGCGCCTGGGAATTGAAAATCATATGTAGCGGTTCAAAGCAAAGACTACAACTAAAAATAACACAAATATGCATATGTTTATTTGATAATTTCCTCTTTTCTACGAAAACATATGCGAGAAGCAAATATATAATAAAACAAAACAAATTTTTAAACGAAATTCGAAATTAAATTTACTTGGGAGAGCAGTTGGTACATATAATTTTTTTTTTTAAGTTATATCCTGAATAGAATATATGAAGTGTGCTAAGAAGTTTGTAACATCGAGAAGGAGATGTCAGAGACTCCATAAAATATGTATATAAATGATCAACGTCGCTGAGTCGATTTAGCCATCATCCATCTGCTCATCTGTTCGTCTGTCTGTTTATATGGGAACTAATCTCTCAGTTTTTGTGGTATCAATCTGAAAATTTGCACACATTCTTTTCTCATCAAGAAACTGCTCATTTGTCGGAGCTGCTGATATCGGACCACCATAGCCTATAGCTGCCATACAAATTGAACGTGCTTAGTCCTTGTATGGAAAACTTTTTTAATTGACGAGATATCTACACGAAACTTGGCTTAAATTATTTTCCAAGGCAACGCTACAATTCCCGAACATATTGTTTAGTTCGGACCACTATAGGGTATAGCTGCCATACAAACTGATCGATCAAAAGCAAGATAGCGAACTTTTTATACCATTATATGCTTTAAAAATGCACCTGTGAAGGTTATTATAGTTTCAGTAGAGCCAAAGTAATAATATTTTTGCTGTTACTTTTTTTTTGAAATTTTTTTTTGGTACATTTTGCAACGTCATCCCTTTCTGATTTCCTCTGGGTTCTGTTGCTACTATCTGCCACTAAAAGTGAAATGCCAAGCAGACAAGCAGTCAAGCAGACAGACAGACAGACAGTCAGAAAGTGGAAAAGTGAAATGAGATAACATTTATAATATCAGCAAACAGCTGCGGTGAAAGCGAACCGTTTGTTTGCTCAGAGCAAGAATGGAACTTTTGCACTCAAACACACACACACACCCATTTAAATGATAAGAGTGCTGGCGTATGTACTCGTAACGGTCTAGGCGCCTCTGAGCACGGCTATAATTGCATATCATCAGCATATCGCTGGCTTATCAAGCGAAAAGTCAATAAACCCCAGCAGACGTGCGAACGGACGAACAAACGGACGTGGTAGAGTGATCAAAGAAATATTTGCTTTTGTGTATATATGTGTGTGTGTGTGCATATTTATTGGAGTCTAAGTGTAACTGCGTCGCACCAATAACCCTGAAGGAATTGTCTTCGAGTTCATTTTGCGGTGGGTGTGGTTACGATTGCTCTGGCTATGGCGCTGCGTAAAAGAAATTGTGGCAATAAAAACTGCAAAACAAAAAAATAATAATTAAATGAAAAAAAATATAAGGTTGACTCCAGTCAGTCATTCATGTGAAAAACTCTGCGTTTATGGTGCTATACTTTCAGTTACATTCTGCGGTTTACAAATTTTCCCTTTCCGACGCTTGTGTAGAAAGTAAATCGTTGTCTCGTGTGATTGTTATCACCAACTGTTTTATTGTTCGGAATTGATTTGGTAGTTCACGACGTTATAAATAGAAATAAATATTGGTTATAGTTGCCGAAGAATGCATTAATTGTATTTAACGGAATCTCGAATGGCTGGAGGTGAGAATAATGGAAAGCTGAAGAAATATATTATAGTAGCGCATAGCACAGAGAAGTAGAGATGTTGAGAGATATTTCTCTCCTTGCGGTTATTTAGTTACTGAAAAGAGGGTAGACGAGTACCAAATTCTGTACAACGACAATTGAAAAGATAGCGCAGAGCTCAGTACCTCAGTTTACGGTAGCATCTGAGAGCGCGAAAATAGTGTAAACTTTAGCGAATGGACTCGTTCGGTTAGATTTCGAGTTTGAACTTTAAATAATAGTTTTGTTAGTCCGCGAATAATCACAACTCAGCAAGCCTTGGTAAAATAGCTTTCAAAAGTGCGGAAGTCCCCAGCAAGAACGAGATCTCTGGCAGTGATATATCGTTATATAAAGTGAGGTTATGAGCAAGTTGAGGTAAAACAAAAGGTATATATCTATAAAAGTGGGATATTCATCTATAAGGTGTATCTAGAAATGTCGTCTTCTTATTTCATTTCAGTCATAATCGAGTACTGGCCAAACTCAGACAACTCAACCAATCAATCAAATGTCAGATTTCTTCTCGAAAGTTTTCAGAACGCTAATACCATTCTCGGTAACAGCCGTCATGATTCTTAAAAAATCCTTCGCCTTTCTATTCATCAAATGGTCAGGGAGTCTTAAGTGCCCAAAAAACTGTCCAAAAATCATACAATTTTTAACGTAATCTCCGTAACAGCCGTCATGATTTCAAAGCGAAAGCCTTCGAATTTCTATTTATCGAATGGTCAGGAAATCTAAGTTGTTAAGGGACCACTCATATCTTGAGATGCAATAAATGTATCGAAATACTTTTACCTATTTCCAAATGTAAATGGAACCGGATATCTCAACTATCGCCTGCTGTAGTCTCAGTGTAGACTTGTAGGAACTTACAACCAATGTAATGCTTGCTGGCTGTTCTAACTGTAGATGGGCACTTCTGCCTCCTATTGATAAGCGCTAAGGTATTTCAAGTCTCTCCAGTCCACCCATGTTAAATTTTATAACCATTTCGATTAAGTCGATGTCGACAGCACGCTGGATAAATCTCGCTTTTCAATCGAACCAACCACAATATTTTCGCAATTCGCTACATATTCACCCAACGGCTATCAATTTTTGACTGCAAATCGTCAATCTAAAGATAGTGGAGAGAAAACTGCAACGGAAATTCAATGTTCGTAGGCGAACTAAAGTTGTTGCATTTGTTGCAAGGTCTAGCGATGCCTTACTCCGCCTTGCCTGTCAACAGCAGCCAACGCCGTCGACAGCTCATTTCCATTCTCATTTCCCCAGCTCATCCACGCCCGCAATTTCATTGCGTCAGCGAACTGTTATTTACCTTTGTTTCGTTGTTTTTTTGTTTTTGTATTTTGCTTTCGATTTACTGTGATCACTCGTGCGACTCAGCGGCAGCGTGGCACGACGACAACGCCGCAGTGCCCTGAAAAGTGCGCCGCAAGCCCACAGCTCACCACTAACGGACATA